AGCCAGCTGATGGCTGGGGCATCCCAGGTTTATCCCCGATGGCTTACARTTCAGGTTCAACAAATGCTGTCTGGGACACAGAGTTTCTGTTCAAAGTTTCTTACTGCAAATAGAGGTTAAAAGCTGAATACTTGAAGGGTTGAGATTTTCTGCAAAATTGGACATAGCATTGACTTGGAAATGTAACTGGTTTTGAGTATTTAAATGTAATACATGCTATTTTGTACATAAATCGAAGCAAAGCATGCCATGGTAGGCAATGTGTGCCTCATGTTCTCCCTGAAAACATAGCCCAAGTAGACATTTTTTTTTTTTTTTTTTTTTTTTTTTTTTTTTCCCAAGAGTGACAAACCCAAACCTGCTCTCCTGAACAGAGATTTGTTTTATCTACCTAGTATAACCTTTGACTGAGGACTGTTTCTGCAGTCCTCCAGTCTTTCCCCAGAATGGCTTAATGAGAGTAGGCAACCTCCAGGTATCACTTGGGTTTTTTTGACCATCTGCTGGGCACAGGCACTGGTGGAATGGCCCATGAACAGCCAGACCTCGCAAAAGCCAACAGCCTGACCCACTGAGCAGTTTGACTTGCTGAGGGACAGAGCAAGGTATGGGTGCATGAAGGGACACATAAAACACTGTTACAGAGTGGGGAAATAATTTGCTCTTACAGTGGTGCTGGACAGGAGGAGAAATAATAACCTTATGTTTCAACTTTGCTATTAAGAGAAGCTTCCAACAAATAGGCACTGCAATGGATCACTTSGTGTGGCTTTTCAGCAGCAGAAATCTTTAGGAAACCATTACAGGAATCATAAATATATGTACTCTGGCAACAAAAGCATAGGATGTGTGATTGTTTTTGTAATATTATAAATTTTATTTCATAATGTCAATTCAAGACTTTTTTCTAACACGTTATTAGAAACCTAGAGCAGTGTGCAGTGGTTTCGCTGTCAAATTGTTTTCAAAGGACTGTATCCACTCCAACAGTCATTTTACTCACAGCAAGTGCATGTAGGGGGAAAAAGGTCATCCCTTTATGGTGCTTCAAAAGAAGCYGATTTATAAAACGTGTTATATTGTTTAAATTGTGCTTTTAACATGCATGGCAGTTTGAGCATGCACTGATGATTTTGTATGCTAATAACTCAGTTACGTTCTTACTGAAATTGAATGGGATTAAAATAAAGTACTGAGGAAGAAAAAGTATAGTTATTATCAGTGCTTTGTATGAATTGCATGACTCTTCAATTTTCTTTATTTCTGTGATTTTTAAACAGTAATGTACACAGGGAATTGTGATGCTATTTAGAAAAGCTGTTAAGATGAAAGAATGAAGTAAACAGTGACTTTTGTTTGAAAGACCATGAATGTGCTTAGTCTTATATAAGATACATGGGGCGAGACTACATATAGTGAGATGTCTCAGAGAAGTCAAGAAGTCTACTGCATTCCATGGTGAGGAAAAAGTGACAATACAGTACAGGTGATTTGCCTATAGCACATGTATCTCCAAAAACATCCTACAGACAATACACAATTACAGGAGAAAAGGGGTAAGACAGCAGATACAGAGTGAATGTGAATGTAACCTTTGGTTTGGTTTAGGTTTTTTTTTCCCTCCTGAGTTTTGTTTGATTAATGATGAGTGAACCTCAGCAACAACACAGACAGCAGCTTCAAAACACAGAGAGTAATCTCTGCCTGTTTTTATCCACCAGCCCTTCCTGTGGAGGCAACATCTCAAGGCAGATGTGTTGTCTTTGAGCTGATGAAAGTCTGGACAGTGAGCATGACTGTGGTGAAGATCTGCACAAAGTTTAGAGAAAGTAAGAGAGACTGAGAATCTTAGTGCAAAGGGGGAAAGGGCAGGAAGGCATCTCCGTGGGATCAAATCTGCAGGATGGAGAGCTGGACAGAAACCTGCAGCACTTCTGTAAGGAAGGTAGGTTACATGGTGATGATGCTGTAGGTTCCTGCTAAAACCCTGGCATGATTTTCTGCTGAAGGGCAGTTTGTGTAAGCAAAGTGATGCTGCAACAGTTCCATGGCTGACATGGTAAATCTAAGGCTTAAAGAGACCATTTTATACATTTTTATGGACATTATATCCTTCCCTTACAAAAGGTAAAAAAGGCAGTGGCACAACGCTGTAACACTAGATTTAGACAATGATCTGTGACAGGAGCATGAAGCTCAGGCTGTGGTGGTGGCAGTGACACACTGATGGCTTGCTGATCCAAGGCTTCAGAGATAGTGGGGATGTCCCAGATGCCTGTAAGCTCCCTGCTATGGCAGGAAGAATGAAGCCTACAAAATGGGCTTCTCCCTATGAAGCAGCAAAGAACTGCTGAGAAAAGGAACAGTTAATAGGTTTTGTAAAACATCTGCAAAACRCACCTTCCATTTTCACTTCTCTCCTTTGTATCTATTACCTCTGTTAAGGACTAAGTAATGGAACAGAAACAAACCCTGCATGTATCAGTAGTTTCCTTAAGAGGCATTTTATTTCTACAATTTCAGAGGCACCGTGGCCTACTGAATATTTACAATGTACCTTTGATTTACATCTGACATGTAAAAAAAAAAAAAAAAAAAAAAAAAAAAAAAAAAAAAAGATGGTTCTATGCATCTATCTTCATCTGTGTTGCACAAACAAGAGGCTTTATTCTGCATGGCATACCACTGCCTTTCTAGTCTGCCTACAGATATATTCAGTCATCTGCAATCCTGATGCATACATTAAATTCACTGCCAACCTGGATGGATACTGTAGAGAGTTATAAAAAAGCATCCCCTTATCTACTGAAGCTATGCCAAAGCAGAATCAGCTGATGGTGCATCAGAGCAGAACCTGTGCAGGGACTCACACCACAGTCACACACTGCCAGAGCTTCAGGAACACATCTCAGACAAGTCCAACTCTCCTCTCTTAAGTCACCGATCAAAGAACGGCTTATTTCAAAACACACTTGCTACTTATATCTACATGGTCTGCCATAACCCAAAATCAAGTGTCATTACTACCTGGCATGAAGTACACAACGAAACCAAAGCCAGACAGGCCTTGAATTTTGTGTTAGATATGTCGCAATGTAGATTTGCACTGCAAATCCAAACTTTGTTYTGTGCCGCTCTTAGAAATGCCCTTTTTCGTGCTTCCCCAAGATTGTAATGACACTGAAAATTTCCTGTTCCAGAAATACAGATTTTTTAGTCTTCTCATGTTAAGGGACCAGCCAGAAATACAAGCTACCTGAACTGCCCCAAAAACAACGAAGCAAAAGGGTAGAGACAATATAAATATACCTCTTTTTAAGACATATGTGTACATAACACAAAATGGCTAGAGGAATAAAAAAACTTACCACAGATAGCTAGGAAGTCTAGTTCCTAGGGTCATGCTAAGTGCAGCAAGGGTGCTAAGCTCTTAACATTCCCACATTTAATTTTTTTTTTTTTTTCATGGAGTGTTTCTTTGGATTAAGAGATGGAAAGTGGGTTAGATCTGTAATTAAGCACAACTACCCTAAATTATTTAAGAGCCAGGGTCTTTTATAGTACCTAATTGTTCATGTGGCTTTGTTTACAAACATGTCACCTACATACAATTATTCCAAGCTGCAACACAGCTTAGATGCAACCATCTACCATCAGGCTGTGGCAGGCAATTTGAGGAGTTTTAAGTGTAACAATGGGAATTAAAATGAATTAGATCAGAATTTTTTTGTGGGAACCAAACTGAACAAAGAAGTATTTTTTTTTAATGTTGGTACATAATCAAAATTAAAACCAAGACAGGGATCAAATAAATATCCTTTAATAAAGAAAAGAGGAATAATTTTAAAGCACCAAAACTGTGAGTATGATGTTACATTGCATGTACAATAAGGTGAATGCAGTACTTTGCGTACAGGTTTAATCTGAATCATGATAATAAAATCCCATGAAATACACAGCAATAAACTTGCATTGCAGAAAAGCTGCACTAAAGAAAAAAGACCAAGAAGCAGACAGTTAAAACTTGCTTTTTAGTTTCTAGGTATTGCTAGAAATGTTTGTTTAGTTCTTAACCTTTTTTTTTTAAACTTGTGCTTAATACTTTATAACTTTAGCATTTTCAGGCATAGTAAATTTGCAGAGTTTACAATAAAATACACACGTAATATGTCCTTTTTCATATAATGGAGTTAAAGAACTTTTTTAAAGCCAAGCACAATGTGCTAGTAGTGTCTGAGTCTAATGATAATATTGCACAAAGCTAGTGAATGGAAAATTTGTTTTCTTTTGATTACTTTTTATTTATTCAACAGGCTTAACAGAGAAGTTAGTTTCATTAAGCTTCACTGGCTTCATTCATGTAAGACAACTTGCAGCCATCTGTATTTCTTAAACTTTCCTTTTAATGATGATGCATTTGTATACACTTAAGATGAATTTCAAAACATATAGTAACAGCAACAACAAGCTGGAAGATGTTAAGTGAATATCCCCAATGCCCAACACCTATTAACCAAATCAGAAGTCAAAACTATGTTTATATTCTGAAAGTCAAGCCAGTTTATGGCAAATTAATTCCTGTATAAGTGAAAGTCTCTGGAATAAAGTCTCTGGAGAGTTTGGACTATATGCACCAAAACAGTCTTCATCCTTTYGACTTGTTTCCAATGAACACACTACTGGTTAATGAGCATTAGATAATGCTCTATACATGAATATTAGGGTCTCAGCRGAGTAAAATCCATTGCTTGGTCATTTTTCCACATCAGAGGTACAGGGCATTCACATTTGAGAATGAAAAGATGACCTTTTCTGTCAAATTCTGAAGCTCTGGGCACAGAATATAGAAAACCTGAATCACAATAAAAATACATAAATGTCACGTTGCAGATTCACCATAGCCAGAGCTGTGAGTTTTGGAATAACAGTCAAACTGAATGGGAAGTACAAAGACCCATATATGCAACAGCCCCTCCCATGAATATACTGCCATGCCCACCCTCCCTCGACCCTCCTAAAAATTCTAAGTATTTATGTATTAGGCAGCAATTAAATATAAATTCACTTTGTAGGAAAACTTAAATTACAGTATATTTATAGGTTAAAAATAGCCATTGTGTTGACAGCATTGACAGCAATATGTTGATGTGCTTATTACACCAAAGAGCAATTTGCAGTCAAGTTTAGAATGACCTACTGTCTGTCAGCTCAAAGAGCACTGGAATCATGCAACATGCTCTCCCAGTAAGGTGCTTCTGTTACTCCTTTTCTTTGCAAGAAGCTTTGCTTGTTCTTAATTCTGTAGTGCGAAACATTAACAACATACTGTCCATGCTTATGGAATCATTACCAGAAATATATCCTGGTAATTTAATTACATAAGCATTACAATGAAAACACACGCATGAGCAAACTTGATTTACAAATTACACTCTTAGAAATTAAGTGCAACAAATGGAATAAGGGTAACATTAACCAATGTTTCTGCCTCCTCTTCTCAATAAGTTGCATGTTCAATAATGCACCTATCATTACTTTATTATTAAACAGTACAGAATATAGTGCTTATACGCAAAATGATTCTTTACAAATAATGTAGTGAAGTATGTTGAGTTCTATCCCCAATTCAGTCACAAAAGAGCACAATATATAATCATACTAATTTATTTTACAAGTGTCTGGTGTAGAACGCAGACTGTCAGAGTTTAAAAAAAAAATGAAGCAAAACTTAAGTGAGTTTGAGAAAAATAAAAAAGCCTTCATCTACCCTAGACAGATAACTAACATGGAAATACAGTAAAGTGAGTAAGACTATTGGTCATTGTAAAGGATCTGGAACCTCTGTGAGTGAGAACAGGAAATACTTGTTGATACAWATTCCATTTCTGAATAAAAGACTATTGCTGTTTACCTAACATTTTGGTTATTTTAGTAGAAACTGAGCATTTAATTTCTTGTTCCCACTCATACAAGATCTTTCAGTCCTTACATAAGCATTTGTACAATAAACGTTACGCATTCCAAATCTTTACCTCACTGGATCAGTTACACCATAGTAAAACACTTAATTTGAACAAAGAAAGAAATTTCTAAAAATGGAAAAAGCCCAAAAGCTGACGAACTATTTAAGATAAATAACTAGCAACAGAACAACTCAGCCACAACAATAAAATGAAAAATATCAATAGGCAGGTCTTTTCATGGAGGCTCTCTTTCCTTGCTCATGTTTACATGGTTTTCCTTAGTGATGCTTGCCAAGATTTCTCAAGAACCAACACAATCATTACAGCTTTTTTTTCAGCTGTGGAGGAACTGACTTCAATGCAGGACTGTCATAATTTCCATAAGTTTCTTTAAATATACTTAAACTTTCCCCATTTTCTGCTGTAGCCCACTGGAAAATTTCACATTACAAAGGATGTTAAGTTTTATGCACTAGCCTGTGTACACTACATATGCACAATTTTTATATCGTAGTGAAAATTATGTGAAATTGTGACATCTAGTGACTCATGGAGATTTAAATTCAGGATTTTTTTTTTTGAGCAGGCTGTGGAAAAAAACCCCATTCACTTTCCACACAGAAGATGGCAGTTTTGAACTAAATATACTGCTATGCTCAGCGTAACTACTTTTTGTGTGCCCATAAAATACATGCTCATATGAGAACTCCATTTCTATTCAGACTAAGCTACTACAGAAATCTAAGATTTCAGCTAAATATGAAACAGATTAAGGAGAGTAATTTTTACCAATCATGCACACATTTTTCAAGGCAAAGATGACAGATCACATGGCAAACGTTATCTGAAAACTGTAGTACAGTATAGCATGGAGCTATTTAGATAACACCACAGTGGTAAACTGCAGATAAACATGTTGTGCAAGGGAACCACTGCACACATACTTTAAGATTACACTATTTTTCCTCGGCTTGGAATTTTGCTAGTGTTCTCTATGCATACTCCAAGGAATAAAACCGCAGGCTGAAAAATAGGAAAAAATGGACATAAAAGTTACTTGTTCACCACTGTTAATTTAGCACTATGTTTCAGATGAAATGTATAATGTGAATTACCATTCTACATCATAGTTCTGCTTTGTGCTACAGCCAAAAATTTATTTGATTACCTTGGTTTTGATGTATGGTGTGACTGAAAGTACAAACAAATGTAAAGCAAAACAGCTTATGGTATAGGCAGTATCAAATGATTATGATGAACCTTGAAACTGCTGCCATTGCTGCATGAACACAGCATCAGAAAGCTTGCAACCATACCATGTAACTCAGAATTCAGAGAGTAAGTTTATGAAAAAAGCATCATGTAGTTTTAGGCCTATGGAAAGCCAGTATCAGGTGTTTCACAGAGCTGAAAAATAGAGACCTGGCAACTAATACAGATAAACTGATACAACTCTACTGTAACACTGCTCGCAGTTGCTTTGAAAATCTATGTTCACTAACTTTATAAGTAAGGCAACACGGTTAAGAAAATCCTTTCGAGATGTTTGACAGAGCTTTAATTTTTGGACAGCCACAGCAAAACATCTTCAATAGACTGAAGGGTCCCAGAGGCGAGGTTCCTTTAGGTTAAACAGCCTATTGCTAAGGTAAGTTCTCCTGCTCCTCTCTCTGTAAGTAAACGGCAAGACATGAAATCCCCTGTTTTAAATGTTAACACAGTACGTGTTCCATTACACGACAGCAGCAATGAGTAACTCCACTTAAAAGAACCCAGATCCCCATATAGTAGTTTATCTGTCAAAAGAAGAACAGTGAATGGACCACACAACACAAAGGACAGGGACTGTGTATTTCTCAAACACAGTGTATGTCACGCTAGTAAAAACAAAAAATGCTAGTGAAAATTCAGCTTTCCTAGAACTGTAATGGGCTGATTTTTAATACCACACGAGGTTTGTAGGTGGTACAAGGCTACTTGTATCTCTGTATTGACATACCTCTTGGTACTGTGGTATCATTAAGAGTAGCTGCCTGCAGCCATTAGTCATGAAGTTTAGGACTACTCCTAAGTATGCACTGCAGAGGAAGTTGTAACTCTCCTTTAAAAATAAAACAGTCAGAATCAAAAGAAATTTTTTTCAGCCAATAGGCTTTTGGGTATGAAATACAAACACTGTCGCAGCCACTAACAGGAATAATGAAAACCAGCAAGAAAAGCATGATTTTCACAACTGAATCATCAGTATGCTTAAGTGCTTTGATCTTTTTCAAAGAAGGCTGCTTAGACTAATCAAAAGCCATTTAAAACCAAAAGAGAAAAATACTTTTAAGTATGAAATTACAAAATATTGCTTCTTATAACAAATGATAAAGTATAACTAACTTGGTTCAGCATAGCTAAATATTATTTTAAAAAAGCATGAAAATGTCTACTTTAAAAAGATGTCAGACTACAAATGACCTTCTAAAAAGGTGCTGCAGTATGTCTTGCTAAATGTATCATGACGGAAACAAACACATTCTTGAATATTACTGAATTCAACTCTTAATTCTCATTGTGCTGTGGTCACTGTTGCTTTTCATACTGACATATGCTTATTCAAGGTAAGAAGAAAAAAAGTCTTAGTTGCATGTTACTGAATTTCAGCTACTGTAGTGCAACTAGGAATTCTCCTCTTTCTGGAATATCAGTCTGCTACACAGCGAGCATCTCTGCAGGGAGCCATTTAGTTGAATTTTCAAGCACATGAGATATTCAGTGCAGTGAAGGGGACATTTTATAGCTGGTTTGGAAACCCAAAGTTACTTTAACAGCAAGTAGTCTCCCAACTCAAAATGCTCCCCTCACTTAACTGGCCATACATTACTAACGCAAATATAAAAAGTGCTTAAGAATTGGGCATTCTTGATAGTATAAAATGCACATCTAAACTCAGCTTTCTGCCCAAACTAGAATTTGTTTGAACAAATAAAGAAAAAAATGACCTAAAATTAAGATTTCAGGCCATTTTTTTCCATGTACTGAGTTGTTTGCCAAAGAAAGACTATTTCTTTGCCAAAGAAAGCCTCTTGTGGAATTGATGGTCGTAACTGCTGGCTCTGAATTCTCAGAAATGCAGAAGAAAAGTAATCTTCAACTGGGGTTTCTTTTCTCATGTTGGTGGCTGTCAAGCACCTGTTTGGGAAAAAAGAAAAAGGAACATCTGAAAAGCTAAACAGCTGTACGAATATTCTCTGATCAACATATCAAGCAATTCTAACATGCAATATACTGAACACTGTGTACTGAGCAAAGATTCTCTTTTCTCCCAGGGCAATGACACGGTAACTCTGGAGCCAAAACACACATAATATGACCAGGTCTTTTTTTGCCTTGTGGTGTAACTGGCAGTTAAGACAGACTAGAGTCTGAACAGGTCCAAAATACTGGATTAGGAGACTACAGAGAACAAAAGCACACTTGTTATCTGTTACTTTGTCCACCACTGATGGAATTCAGGCACAGTACTACTGTGATTTATGTGTACTATTATGTACACATACGCAGATATTCTCAGGATACTTTTGATAACCAGTAATCTCTTGGATTTTTCATAAACTACTACATATTCATACTACTTGTTCAGCTACTTCGATATATGGAATATATCTTTTTACATGGTTCAGTGTCTGTACGGACTGAACTGTTCTTAAAAAAGTTAGTCATAACTTTATGTAGAAGTTAACTTGCAGAGCAGGTAATACAAGAGATGACTAGATCTCCTGCAAGAAATTATTTTTTCTTCAAACTTCACTAATTAATGAAACCACTTCATTGAATACTGCTAATACTCCCTTCACATGTACCAGGACACTTTTTGGCACTTGATAAATATGAATCACTGTAAGAGATTTAGACTTAATTGGTAAGGCAAATAATTGCATTACATTTAGCCTATACAGATGTATATATGTTAGGCATAGCTCATATAAAATGTGCACCAATACACTTCAGTGTATACATTTTCAACCCAAAATCTCTATGCTTTTATTTTTGGCATGTGCAGAGCTTACAAATTAAAAAACAGTAGGTCAGTCTTAAAGCATGACAGCAAGTGGGGATAGCACAAATGCTAGCCTACAATTGCTTCATGAGATTTTCATTACATCTGACTCTTGTATGATGATTGCTAGTAAACCAGTGAGCATTTTCAGGCAAGTATACTAATCTATATGGAAAGTATTTATTCAGCTGAATTTTTCAAGGGCTTTGTCTCAATCTCTCTTCTAAAATACTCCATGTGCTTGGACAGCAGGGGCCTGCTTTTTTTCCTGAGCTGCTAGTACAGCTTTTTCTGAGCTATATTCTGAGCTATTCTGCACAACCCCTTTTCAATCTAAACTATTATCTATCAAATAATTTCAACTAATGAAAACAGGGTTGTTTTCAAAATAAAATATGACACTGGTAAGAGAAAGCAGGTTCTAGATACTCCATTTGAAGAACATGGAGCACATACTCTCAACTCTGACACTGAATCCTGCTTCTAGATCCAGATGATTTCACAGCACTTCAGCAGGATGTAGACTGGTAAAAAGAAGACAGTAATCAGGGACTGTGTGGCAGTGATTTTAGCCTGCTTGTTTTTAGCCTCTAAACTGCTTCTTAAGGGGCTGCAAATAGCAGAGGAAAACATGTATTTATGTTGTGTGGCAATAAACATGGAAGAACACTAAGATGCACTTCCAATGTAAAATGCTTAGGAGGTCAACCAATTCAATTTAAAAAAAATTAAGTCAGTCTTGGAAAAGTCCTTTTTATCTTGCAAAAAAATTGCAAACAAAATCCCRAAAAGTAAAGTAGATTTACTAAAATCAAAGTCAAATCACAAAGTTTAAATTTGGTCTGTTATCTAGGAAATTAGAAAAATTCCACTAAGAAAGACAARGCAGTGCCAAGACACGTCTTTTCTTACAGCTGTCACTTGATTTCTGAAAAGCTGTGGTAGTAAGACTTTTCAGTATGCAAGGATAGGAAGAAGTTACATGAAAGTAAAATTATTTTCACTTGGAGCTTCAGCAAGAGTTAAGCACATCTGCACGCCTGGAGTTTCAACTCCAAAGCTAACAGTATATTTGGTATGGAATAGAAGGAGCAAGCCATAATTAAACAGTGTGAAATCATTAGGGCGGGCAATGGCTAGTTCATGAGAAAATAAAGATAACACTTCTTGCCCGTTTCAAAAATGTTAAAATATTATTATTTGAAAATATCATACCAATGGAACAGCTTGAGGCAGTTTTTCAAAATCACATGAACATTTAGCAGATGATGTGCTCAGTCAGAATCAGTTTTTAAACAGCTGTAGCACTTTAGCAATAGTCACTCTATAGCTATAATAACAACTAACCAGGGTAGAAATAGTGATTGTGAATATTCCAAAAGGTTATCCTTTTTCTACTGCTAACTATGTTGCAAGGATTACAAATATTTAACTCTCATTCTGTTGAAACTGCTTTTCTAAACACATCTTTTTCTTCTTCACAGATTGTCATCCCTCTGGTTTCTCAAATTTAGGGTTTAGTGGGAACCTTCATTGATACTCAAGTTCATTTACATGCCAGTAATAGAAGACAACCACCACAGAAAATTGCTCTATGCTACTGTTGCAGTCACAAATCTCTTTCTGCTAGTGATGCAGCCATTATTTTGTAAACTGATCTCTTGCCAATTTTTGGTTTGTTCTGAAATCATTAACTTCATCTGCTGAAATCTGAGATTAGTATTAATTCAAGTTCATGGAATTAATATGAACAGCACAAATATAAACCGTATTTGTATATTTACGGTTTATAGCCTGAAAATTCAATGAAGTCAGAGATTTTAGAGATAGAAACCAAGCTGTCATGAGGTCAGCCACATAGAGTAACGTTACCATGAGACTTCAATAGTTCAGCATTCAAATCTAACTGTCCTTCACTTAAAGATTATTCAATCTGAAGTGATAAGGCATGCCCAATTTTTACAAGGCCAAAAGTAATCAGAAAGTAAATATAACGTGTGTCCAAGAGTGATTGTGCTGCTTTTTCAAGTTTTTGGGTAAGCAGGGAACTGTCCCTTCAAATTTACAAAGTAAGACACAACATTTTCCAGGAGCAGTGCTAAAAATTTAGCAAAAGTACGGAAACAGTAAAATGCTAAGATAGCATGTAAAAGGAGTTTTCCTTACTATAAACATTAAATTTTTTGGAAAGTCAGTGATACTGAATTCATATCTGAATGTTTAACCACACTGCATGTCAGACAGTTTGTCAGACATTTTTACTAAGTCACCTAGAATGCACATCCTGAAGCTTAGCTGTTACTGATCTAGAAAAACTGTTGCAGAAATATATTTTTTAATGTGGTTTAATTACAGGTCAGTTTTCCCAGTCTGTGCAAGGCAAACTCTCCTCTTCATCCTCTGACTCAGGTGATGCTTCCTTAATCCTTCGCAATGCTTCATGGATGCTCCTTGTCAGAGGGTCAGTATCAGGCAGAATTGTAAAGGATTCTCTCAAAACATCTTTCTGTACTTTCTTCAGTTTCACCCCTTTCCTGATCTGCGCCAAGATGTTATTACTATCATCTTCATCAGGAAAAGGAGGGAGACTTCTCTGCTCAACTTTTCTTAAGTGAAAGCTGCCACGTTTCAAGGAAGCCAGCACTTCATCCATTGGGGAACTCACTGCAGTAAATCAAAAGACCTTCAGTATTATTTTCACTAAATTWTATCAGTCTTAACTTTTATTTCTTACAGACCAAAAAGTAATGTGGTAGTCCCATACCATAGGTACAACAGTAGCTCCAATACTGCTTTAGCCTCTAAACAATCTTCCTTATTACCAGGTCAAAACTGATTTATACTGACAATTGTAATTTTTGTAACCACTTAACTTCCTATCAGGAATAAAACCTTTTGAACAATGTGGCTTTTCTGTCTGCACTCAGGAAAACCAAATAAGCTGCAAGAAATTCAACACAATGAAAGCGTTTAATACATTATCTTTTTGATCTTTAAAACTCAGGTAATGAGTACCTATCTTAGGTAATGGACTGTGCAATCTAATCTTACCACTTGCACTTTATGGTGAATTTTACCTACTGCATTACTACTTCTACATACCAGTGAGGGAAGCAGCCACATAGTCAATTACAAGAGTATGCATTTTCCTGCTTCTCTGGCTTAATGTATTTGTTAGCATCTAGTCCCAGCACAGTAACAAAAATTCTCTTCCTTTATAATTAATTAAAACAAAGTAGTCAGATAGTTATTTATGGCAAATCCTTCCTTTACCATCAATTTTGCAACTAGTTATCCACAAAAATAAAAAGCAGGCTTTCACTCTTTAAAGAGCTACAAGCAGCCAAGATCTTCATCCCAGAGAATGCATTATAATAAAATACAACAGTTTAAATACCTGGCATACAGTAGAACATAATTTGTGTAGCACTTGGCAATCAATACATAAATACCCATCTCCAGTTCTTTTTAGTACATTTAGAATATGTTTTTTAAAATCCGTTTTATGAAAAGGCTTTGTCCATGCCAGTAAGGGCCCAGACAGAACAGACACAATGAAAAGAGAGAAATAAAAGTATACAGGACCGCACATTTGAARGAGGAAGGAAGGACTGTAAAGGACCTGTCTGTCATAGAGAGACAAATTTCTGATGCCACTTAGAAACTTGGAACATCTCGGGGATACGGAGCAGCAAGTAGACTGCTGCTGCAGACACTAACAACATTCTTAAGAGGGATCATTAATTTGATACATATATATTTGTCATATTATGATGCATATAAAACTGCATGCACAACAGGTGCTTTATAAAAAGTTGCAAGACAAAATGCGAATCAGTAAAATAAACAGGACTAAATAAAAATTATCGTTATTGTGTTATTAAAAAAACACTGCAGCCTCAGGTGAAGCGCATAGTATTGGCAGAGCGGGCAGTAATACATGCAAAAATATTCTTTAGGCCCATTTTCTATCCAGTCTGACATGCTACAATGTAGAATCAGTTTCACAAGTGTTTTTCCTCTGAGCAAGTATACCACACGATGTGGCCCTAGTGTTCGAGCTGTCAGCATCTGTCAGCTAAAAAGGATTTTACAACTTTGCCATTAATAATAAATACACTTTCCTGAAGAGCACTTAAAAAGATGAACTGATGTGCATTACAATTTTTGAATTAATAACAATAAATTCTAAATTAAATATGAAGAAATTAAAATATTACCTCTCCTCCTCTGTAAACCCTCTAGATCACCAGTCTTCTTAAGCTTCTTCTTGGCACTCACTAGCTGACTGCTATCAAACAGATGTGCGGGTGGAACACCAGAGGAGTGCTGGACTCCCTTTTCCACACTCTGACGTTTAACAAAGCTGTCACTTTTCTCTACGGATTTGGTGGCATCTTCCTTGGATGGCAAAGGTGGAGGAGGAGGTGGAGGTGGTGGAGGCAAAGGGGGTGGAAGCTGGACTCCAGCAGAAGTCTCTGGCTGAAGCTGGTCACTGGTGAGTGGAGAAGTGCTAACATGGGGCAGTTCAGAGGTAACACCATTGGGAGGCAAAGAGACATCTTGAAGTTGTTTCACACTTGTGGATTCCTGCACTTGCAAAGGCTGAACTGCTTTTTCCAATTCCACCTCTTCACTCTTCTCTTGAATTTGTATGGTTGCTGGCAAAGATTGAGGCTGCTCAACACCGGACACTGAGCTGGCTGCACATTTTCTTCTTGCGTGAGCCAGCCGTAGTCTGGTTGATTTAAGAATTACTTGCCCAGGGTACCGCTAAAGTGAATAACGTATTGACAATTAGGTAAGCACATGCAATGAACAATTTATATTTTAAGTACCTGTTGTTAGGGTTCACCTTTCTGACAAACAACTTTTATTTTGCACTGTATGTAAAACCAAAGCAAATATATCCCCATCTTTATGCAAAATTACTCACAGATGTAGTTTTTATTCTAACTGAAACCACAAGTTACATATTATTAGTCTAGTCAGGGAGATACATGGGTTAGAATTAGAATTTCTCTTAAGAATCAGATTGCACATTCAAAATTGGGTTTTTTTTTCTGGAAACTAAAATTCAAAATTCCATCTTGCTTTCCTCTTCTAAAACTGGTCAATGGCTCCTTCAGCAAGTGCACACCAGTCAAAATCTCTCTCACTTAATACACTGGCCTTATATGTGAATCATACTGTTTTGAAAGGTGTATCTTAAGAACATCAAAGGTTTTGAGACTTAATTTAGTTCTTAAATTTGCTGCCTCATTTTCAGTCTTTTCATATAAGTTTCATCCATAGCCTTTTTAAAGCAAAAAATTAAACTGCGTCTGAACGACAGGTCTAATACACTTTGCACAACTGTGGTAGGCCTACAGCAATAACATGTAACAATATTACTAGGTTAATAGAAAAAGTTAGCTCATGAACAGTTGCTGATTAAAGTAAGTAAATTTGCTTCCATTTACATAAGTTACAGAGCTCAAGAGCCTTGCAAACAATAAAGAAATGGAGAGTGTACTGCTGAGGAAGACAACTGACCAGCAAAGAAACTTCTAATAGTTTTATGTTTTAATGTATTCAACAAAACATCTTCACCAATTAATAGTCTCTGTTTTCATGCATTTTCAGCCCTTTCCTTACTCTTTCTCCTTCATTCCACCTTCTGTGCATTTGCTGATGCTTCCATTGTAATAAGAAAGAACAGGTATTGGCAGGTATTCTAGCAATCATTGGTAGGGGAGCATGTCAGATGACAATGCTCTTTGTGGGAAGTGCTGTTTCGATTATACTTCTTTTAGGAACATTTGCCAAGTGTTTTATCACAAGGTATAGGTGTAGGAGTGAACAGAAACTTATTATAGCACTGGAAATGCAACAGCCAGAGAATCTGTGGCCACCAGTGCCCTATTTTGTTGTGAGTTTTCTGAAGACCAGTTAACTATACAACGAAAGAGAGCCACTGATAGCAGAGTAGTGCTGGAATGAGCGAAGATTTCTTTGGGAAAGGAATCCACCAGAAAAGAACAACTGTTCTTCTGTTACCTGCTTAAATGTACGAAGTCTGTCCAGGGTTTTCTGTCGCTCCTGACTAACCCAGGAGCTCTTTCTTTCCTCTTCATCTTGCAATTGGTCTCTTTTCTGAGGAAACATATGGAAAACATGTAATTATTATGTCCAGTGTCTATTTGGCTTCATTAGAAAAAACTTCTCCTAAATGTGAAGAGTTACTTAAAAAGATACTTCTCAAATAAATGCAACTTCAAAACTTGGCGTTTGGCTTCCCCTTAAAAAATGGTATACATTTCCTAGTTTGTTTTCTCAAAGAAATGCAAAGCTCAATAAAGAAGTATTTCAATTGTGAACTGGAACACTTGCAAGATTTGTTCCCCCAGATATGAGAAATAATTGAACAAGTGACAGATGCTATACTGAAAGAAGGCCCCTTGAATTAAAATTGCATAAGCCAGAGAACAAACCTCATTCCAACAACAAAATGACAGTCCAAATTGCACAGCTGCACATCTAAACATCGTATTACTATTTTCAAAGTATAAGAATTCACAGAACTCAGCATCACAGTTATGAACTCAACAGTGAGCAAGTTAAGTAAATGTTTTCACTCTTACATTTACATCAGTAAATATAAGGTTTGCATTTATTCAAGCTTCTGTTATTTAACCCAGCTTGATTTTATGTAATTGTACTTCAATTGTACTTCCTTGAAGCTATAACAGTTGCGTTTTGTCTTGCACAGGAATGTTACCTTATCGAAAACACAACTTTGAATCCATCTCCTTTATCTTGTCATCCCTTCTCACAGAACTTCAGCTAAGTTACCTTTAAATCAAACACTAACTCCTCAGACAAATTTACTGGAAATGCAAGCTAATTATCAGAAGGTGAAATTCACTGCATGCAAGTTCACAAGCGATAAGGAAAAGTGATGTAGCAGCTGACCACAAATTAAAAACCCTGTGCAGAAACAGCAGCTTTAATTTTTAAGATAACTCACAGCATTTAATATTACTTTTGAAAGCACATCTTCATAATCAAAAATTCTGATCACTTTTGTGAACCTTTTACTCTCATTCAGTCAACACAAAAGCAGTATCTGCCTGCCATTTTCGTAAGTCAGCTAGTGGCCTCGTGTCCTTCATAAAGAGCCAACTCCTGTGATTTGGAAGGAAGTAAGTATAGATGCATTAGGGAGAGAAAGAGGAGAACATGTCTGAAAAATAGTAAGGACAGAAAACAGAAAAGGGTGAAGAGAAGGAGAAGCATGTGCTAAAAGAAAATAAGAGAGCAATGGGGCTAAGAAGTTAGAACAGAAGCATAAAGAAGAAAAGTAATCTATCACCATAGTTGAATGTTACATATGCATTCAGATCAAAACTTCCCTAAAGGAGTCTCAGACTCAAGAGGTTTTCTTTGTTTCAAGGGATTTGTTTATTTATTTATTTTGTTTCACTTTTAAGTAAAATTGCAATTGTTATTCGGTTTCAAATTTGGACTCCTTAAGTTATCTTTTCAAATCTAACTTAAAACATATTTTACCATAATGTTAGAAATTTTCAGTCACATTTTTAACAGAAAGAACCACACACAAACCAAAAAAAAATAGCATCAGGTTCTTTATATAATCCAAGCAGGCAACTCTGTACTACAAAGCTCTGCAGTAGTCAAGAGACAAGAAAGTCCTTTGACTTTGACAAGTCTTATTTGTAAGAGGGATAAGTGGACTATGGAGTGGACAGTCCTCGTAGCACCTTCCTCTGCCTTACTGTGAGAACTGAAGAAAAAAAATTTTTAAAAATTCCTGAAAGAATATTCCAATACATACTGCCTTTGACAAGTAGTCTTTCCATAAAATAAATTATGCAGCTGATTTCCTGGACAAATGTATCAATGTTAAAAATGTATAAGGATGAAACAGAATCACTTTCACTAATCTAATTGAAGCCTGAATTAAAGAGACTTGGATTTCAATGAATCTTTGTCAGTTATCTTTATTAAATATTGATACTATATCAGCTCCCAAGACCTAGTCCAAAATTTGAATATTCTTTAAAATAAGTCTATTAGGTAAAGCATAAGAGTTAGATCAGTTAGTCTGTTTTCTGCAATGAGACTATGCAAAAAATCATGGAACACACATCTGGAACTACAAGCTTATATAATATAATAAATTCAAGTAATTGCTTTAGTAGAAAGAAGTAGCAACCAAGCTTATTATGATTCAAGATTAAACGTGTGTGATTTCCTTACTCCTGTGAGCATACTGGACACAGTACTCGGAGATATCCAGGATCATCCAGTGCATGTGATAAGAAACAGTCATCACTCAAACTGCGAACCTAGTATGAACACCTGTTCTACTTGCTTGATTCCAATGTTTTCCTAACACAACTATATATTCCCCTTACCAGCATAACATAACACAGAAATCCATGGTGCAAAGGTCAGGGGGACATACTCTCTTTTTGCAAGAGCTATCACTCTGAATGCTCCCCTAATTAATGTATAATGAGGAATGCAAGCTGTTAATGACAGGCTAAACTCAACACCAGAAAACTCAAACTTACTAGCTGAACGGAATGGTGCATTTTATACTCCTCCTCACTCTGGTGACGCTGCTGGATCTTCTCATTATGCTTTGCAATACAGATCTCCTGTAGGGACATAAAATGCAATCTATAAAGTATGTATTTTAAATATAGATTTACATAACAACATATTTAGCACCTAGAAAGTGGCACCTAGAAAGATAGAAATTGCAAACCTTATTTCAGACAAACTTATTTAACTTACAATAAATTGTAACTGAAACAAAACAAAGCCATACAACCTCAAATCTATTACTTTTAACTGTCAAAAGAATAGACCCAAGTGACAGCTGCTTGGAAAGTCTATTCTACAGGACCAGTACAAAAGGGGCAAAAGCCACCAATCTGTCAACAGCTCATAATGCCTTTGTTTAACCCCATGTATCTGCACACATGGATAATAACTGTCATATATACCATATATTTCTGTTTATGCAAATAGACAGCTTTCCATTAAAAAAAGTTAGTTTATCTTCTGCACATACAGTCTGCAASCACAGACAGGAATAAAGTTGTTACAATTCATCATGTTCACTTACTACACTGAGCTCACATCTCTAACATCAGGTTTAGAGACAAGAATATGCACATAAGCATAAGTTAAAAAAAAAAAAAAAGAAAAAAACAGGACAAAACAAAACACCAGGTCATATTATGGCAGCTGACAGGGAAGACAATGACTGTCAAACTTCAGGTAGATGGACAACTTCACTGTACAGTGGCAAGGGCCAGGATATTGGATTGTATAAGCAATGAATTACACCTGGTACAAGCAGAGCTAGAACGAAGTCAGATGCACAATTATAAACAAATCTCATAGTTGTGCAAGAAAACACAGAGTTAAGAGCTTGGACTGTGACTCCAGATAAAGCATGGAGCTGATGGGTGGGGTTCCAAGTTTCATTCAATATGACTTTCTGGGCAGACTCAGAAAAGAGCTTTGACTTTGAAAGCATTGTTTGAGGGAGCTGACGGAGTAAAACACAAAAATAGGGAAGGAAGGGATTAAAATAACCTCACTATTTCAGATGCTCAAAAATGCAGAAAAAGCTCTCCTACAACCTGTCTATGGACATGCTTTGATCACATAAAAAAGGTAGCCAGTGTTCCTGTACTGGTCAGGAATAGCATGCAGTCTTGAATGTTTCTGGACAGTAAAACCATCAATGTTGCTACTGTTACTTGTATACAGGTAACTGACAAAAGGGAAGATTTCTGTGTAAATACTGTCCCAGCTTCMTCAGGGGTATATCAAAGAATGACTTGGGTGGGAAGAGATCTTAAAGATCTAGTTCCAACCTCCCTGCTACAGACAGGGAATCTTCCACTAAACCAGGTTGCTCAGGGTCCCATCCAGCCTGGCTTTGAACATTTCCAGGGATGAGGTATCCACAACACATGGGGCAACCTGCTCCAGCAGCTCACCACCCTCAGAGCAAAGTATTTCTTCATAATAGCTATTTAAATCTCTCTTAGTTTAAAATTGTTTCAGCGTGTCCATGTAAAAAAAAAGCACTCTCCCTCTTTTTCATAAGCTCCCTTTATGTTCTGAAAGGCTGCAATGAAGTTGCCACAGAGCCTTCTCTTCTCCAGGCTAAACAACCCCAGCCTGTCCTCATAGGAGAGGTGCTCCAACCCTCTGATCACCATCGTGGACCCACTCTGAACTCGCTCTAACAGGTCCATATATAGCCAAATACTGCTGGGTTTTGTGTTAGTTTCTGGAGGGTTTTTTTCCCCTGGTGAAAAGAGTTAATCCTGGAAGAGTCAATTAATTTAATTTGTAGTTGTGGAAGTACAAAATGTTTCATCTACGAGTTTCAAAGACACAGCAAGCTACATAATACTACCAGCAGAGAATGTAAACAACTTTCTGTAATACTACTGCTGGTTTATAGTTTATTCTCTGTTTAGGTTTTAAACATTATAAAATAATGCAATAATGTAAATTAAGTATGGTTCGGAGTTTTTGACATGTCTCAAATACTCAAGGGGTGTAATTTTATGTAATGTTTTCACTTTAGCATCGGTATTTAAATCTTTCTGACTAAATGCAATAATGAAAGATATTTTAAGTATGTAAAGAGGACAAACCTGACCAAAATATGCTTGGTGCCGACTTTGTATTAAAAAGTAACCTACTTCAATGTCATTAAATCTCTTTGACAGGAAATAATAAAAATGACTAGGAGGGGCTGAAMACACGTTGCATGCAGGGCGGGATTACAAATCTGAATCATCTTAGCTAATTACAGAAATGGTCTAAGAAGAAAAGAAAGGCTGCAATTTCATAGGGACAAATGCAGAGTTCTATTTGTAGACAAGACTAGTGACTTCAAACAAAGGATGAAATAAATAACACCCAGATGGTAGCATTAAGAAAATTATCTGAATGATTATGGCAGACAACAAGATGAATATAAACCAATGAACTCCACCCAAAAAATCCAAAATAAAACCAAACATAGTAATTGTGTGTATGAGCAGGAATACAGCCAGTTGCACAYGCAAGGTTGTCCTTCCTTCTGAGGACTGGGAAGGCAGGATTATAATCACAGAACCATCAAGGTTGGAAGAGACCTTCTAGATCATTCAGTCCAACTGTCTGTAAGCACTAAACCATCACCCAGCACCAGATTCAGACACCTCTCGAACACCTCCAGGGATGATGACTTTACCACTTCCCTTTGAAATTACGTCCACTGAGAGCCACACCTCAGGAAGTATGTTGATCAACTGTATTGAGCTGAGAAACCAACAAGAACTAATGCCCATTCCACTTTTAAAGAAGTGACTGATTTTATAGTATAAAATTATATTGCTATTTAAAGAGAAAAAAAGAGAGAGCTGAGGAGACACTTCAACATTTGTCACTGGATAACTACAATATTTAAGACTAGTAATATGTAATACATGCAAAAGAGATGTGCATTAGTATTATATCTAACTAGTTCCAGTGAGTCTTACTTTCAGCTTAAAAACGACCCAATTAAAAGGCTAGCTCTTCTTGTGCAGAAACCATATTTTATATAAGCATTCAGTATAGTTATGCTCTCATGCTGCTGTTGCTGTAATAACAGTAATAATAGTATACCAATAATCCTATGCCAGCTGTCACTGCACCTATGTAGCACCCATTTTGGCACAGGCTGTGCTTTAAAATGTGGGCTTGAAAAATTCTAGAAGTGTCATACTAAATGAACATAACAGCATGTGAGGAAGTTTCCCAGATTAAAGCATACATTATGAACTCCAAACAGCTTCACCAACCAGTTGCTTCTCCCAGTCTGCCTGTGATAAGGAATACTCTTCCTGGGTGCAAAATAATTCAATTTCATCACTACTCTGTTTTTCCAAAGATATTTTTCTAGACATCTTCTATACAGTATTTTTCACCTTGACTCTTTGCTATAAATCTAGCTCCAGAATAAATCAGCTGCTTGATTCATATGATAATCTAATTAATACTAATATGCAGCCAGCAGGGGGTAGACGGGCATAAGAATAGCAATTTCATGCATAAAATCCATAACTAGCTCTCTAGAACTAAGAAAAATAGTGAAACTGCTATTCAATTTTTATTATTTAATAACTCTGTTATCAACACAGGAAATGACTGCTTAACAAATGCAAATAGGTTTGTTCAGATTTTTGCAAAAAAAATAGAACAAAGAGTTTATACTCATGTTAGTACAGTGAAAAAATATCAAACTCTGTAAAACCATGCATTTTTAAATGCCAGTTCATTTATTCTGAATCACAACTGAATTATGTTTCTATAACACCTTTAGCAAAAGTTTCTAAATATTTAAATATTTAAATTACAAATTCTCCTGATCACTACATCTCTTGATTACTATACATAGTAATTTATTTCCTTTCACTGTGTTATCTCCTCAACAGAGTTTCAAATACCTGGATGATGAAATTACCTTCTTCCAGAAAAATAAAACTGATTTTAGAGAAAAAAAATTCCCTTTGTTTCCTTAATCTTGATACCTGCTGCTAGAAAGGGAACATTCTCCTAAGGGCATCTTCGGTTGCCTAAAACTTGATAATGAGCAAGGACTGTAATTTCTAAATATATCACGAGGCTGTGCTATACACCACTTAACACATAACTAGCTTTTTGTTTTCAGCTACAGAACTGACATGGTTAACAAAGAGTCCCAACAAAAATGTAGAAAAAAAACCTCCACTAATCCACCACTAAAATCTCACCAACCCAATCTAAAACAGAACACCTGTTTCCAAGTCTGCTTTAAAATACTTTGCTGAAACACACAAGGTCAGGAAGACAATCTGGAAAACATTAAGTAACTCTCATCCCAGTTCAACAATAAATGCTTCTTAATTGAGACAGATATACAGAGATTTACCACATAGTACATACTTTCCATATTCACCCTCAAAAAGTCACTTTTCTTCACATAGCACTCAGTCATCACTGCCCTCATTCTCACCCTCTAGAGTCTGCTTTTGTATCCCATCTGTATCTCAGTTCTGAATGCTTGATTAAATCTGCAAACACTTCAGGGCAAGAATCTTCTTTTTCTCCAAGAAATACAACTAATCACATCACGCACCTTAAATAGTGTTCAATAATAATCTTTTGTAGTATCACTGGAAAGGTTATTGAAAATACAAAGCTGGCTTAAGATGAGACAAAGATATGAGTTTTGATTTTTAAGCAATTATCAGTAAGCTTAGTAGGACTCTGTGTTATCCAGCAATAAGAAGAGAAGCCACAAAATGGCCGTATTTTTTTCTGCCCAACAAATGCCACACAATGGCACACAACAACACATTCTGCCCTTTCTTTTTTGCTCAAATAAAAATCATTGATTTTCCCCTGCAAATTTAAAGAGACATTGCTCTAATCTGTCATCTTTCTAGAACCTGAAAGCTAAGTATCTCCCAGCAGCACTCAATTGCAGATAATGCTGTGCTGGGCAATGACATCAGTAAGGGAGCTGGAACTAGTATTGAGAGCAATGTGTCATTCAAGTTCCACATGGAGATGTTACCTCAGCTCTCCCAGCATAATGTTGAGAAGATGTAATTTTACCTCTCCTGCATGAGTACACAGACAAGCAACGATACCATACATAGCTCTGCATCTTGTCACAGTGCACGAGGGATGCTGCTACTCCTGGTACAGCCAAACCCCAACTCTTTCAGTTTAAATAAGGCATTCCATCACAGCATAACCTTGAAACAAATGAGCCACTGAAGGTGACACGTTTATTACACTATCAGATAAATAGGCATACAAAAAAATCTCTACTCCTGCTTCATGGTTGCTTCTTGACCTGTTAACTCCAGTAAGTTAAGTAAAGAACAGCGACCAGGCTGTCGCTTTTAAACAGGTTTGTCTACTTTGTCAGGTGTCAGCAGTTTCTTTTCATATTCAGAAAATATTACACTATAATGTAGCCTGTGTAAATTAGCATAACACCACAGATAGGTTCTCTTACTTAAAATACTAGAAAGTCCATGTTCTTGATACTTTTTCTTCTTACAATCTCATGTCAAACAAACATAGTGACTAAGCAAGCTACTTCAGATAATCAGCKTAACGGGAGACCTTTCTTGTAATACTTTATTAGCAGTATTCTCCATATTGGATTAACTAGACACAGGGAAGTGGTTGACAAAATATAAAAAATCCAACACATAAAACCTATCAACTACTGTTCAGTCACTCTGTTGTGCTTCAGATTTAGGTATAGAAATAGATTTACTAATTATGAAGTGGAGGAAACACTGAAGGGTTTATCCTCAATCTGCTACAACTCTTTATATGAAGGGGTCATCTTCCACATAAAGGGATATGACTGGGAATGCACAACCAAATCAGCCACTGATCCTCAATACTGAATGAGGCCTCAACTGACATTTCTGCATAGCCTACAGCGCACAGTAWAGAGTGGAAGCTGTTTTCTAACAAGTATTACAATGGTCTCTCAAAACTTTGACCTAAGTGGCACACCTAGAATTACAAATTAAGAATATAGACTGGATTTCACATAGATCTGCCAGATACAGAGTATCAGTGACACATAACAAGTTTAAAAGGAGGGGTAAGAGAATGAAAATAGAACTCACTAATGAGAAAACACATTTGAAAATTCTCTTCTGCAAGCATACACAAAGCTACTTTCAGTAGAACCATTCATTCTAGCATGTACTTCCCACATGAAAGTATTCTGATTAGTAGAAATAAGTTTATTTGTTGACTTCAATGTAATTAAAGGTTCCTTTAAAGCTGGAAGAAGGCAAAGAGATTCTTAAGTGCATCAATTTAATAATACATGCTATTGTATTTAATATTCTGCAAAACAACTTTTAGCTAACAATAAATATGATCCACAAAAATTCTGGGAAACTTGTACCTGAAAGGAAACCTTTTGAAGTTTTATTAAATTTGTTAATTATGTCCAAAAACAGGCAATTAATTACCTTCTTATTTCTGAGGTAGGCTTTCTTGGCTGAAATACGTCCACGCCTTGCTTCCAGCTGGCGGATTTTTTGTTGTAACTTTTGCAGCTCCTCTTTCTGCAAGTGTACAGATGTTGCCATATCCTCTTTTTCAAGCATGGCTTCCATACTTTCATAAGTGTCATAATACACCACTTCATCTCTCTTCTCTGTTTTAAAGATGTCAGCAAAGAAAAAATCAGATCAATGGGTTATATTTTATTAACATTTTGTTTTCCTCAACAACAACTTTCCCACTAAGTTGCAAGATTTAATGCAGAAGAATGCCACTGCCATTTCAGAGGAGTACCAAAAATCAAAAGGTCAGAGGAAAAGCATTAAACAGCAAAGCTCTGTAGGGCTTTGAAGTTTGTATGAGAAACAGAAATTATTAAAAAAAAGCTCAGCCTACTATTCAAGCAAGCTCAGAGTATTAAAACACAAATGCAATTCTAAATGTACACTTACAATGTGTAGCCTAATTTGAACACAATCCCCATGCATGTCTTTGTGCATGTCCTTTGTGAGACCCATGGTCTCTTCTCTAGTCTCCACCATGAAGTTCTGGATAGACAAGACTATCTGAAATCTTTGGAATGAGATTCTTCTGCTACAACCAACTGCTAATGTCATGTAAGGGGAATCAGACAACAGGACACCAAAAATCCTCTCATAGGTTTTTGATGTCCCAGTCACTGCTCCTGAGAGGGAGGGAGGGTAACTTCAAGGCAATCCTTCAAAGCATTACAGGCCTGAAAAGGAGGTAATTACTAATAGTTTTATCAACACTCATGATTTTTAGCTTCCTGAGTGAAGCATTTGGAATAACACTGAGCTCATCTTTGAATGCTACCTTCTCATCTCTTGCCAAGAAGGAAAGAGTGGTGATTATAAATCCTTGAAGAATGTTGGGATGAAGAAGCAGCAACGACCTCTTGTTCTTTATTCCACTGGCACACAAAGTAGGATATATTTATAATACACCAAGAGGTGTAATGGGTTACTGCGGAGGGAAATGCATTACTGCTCTCTGAAACAAACAGATCCAGCTGGCCTGCCTGTCAAGTGTCCATTCCACAGCACCACCAAACTTATTTCAACTTTATCAACTACTTTTACAAAGACTCTAATTTCTCTTACATCAGCTACTTGATTATTTGGGGACAGGCACAGGGTTTTCCTCAGTACACAGTCCATTTTAAAAGCTGTTGTCACTTCATGTTATTTTACAGTTTCTGCCTCAACCAAAACTCTGACTGCCATGCTAATTTCATCCTGGTAGCAGTCAAGGCAGGACCAGACAAGAAAGTACCGCATTTACCTTAAAATAAAAACTAGTAAAATATACCAAACAGATGATTCACTTCAGCGCTTGGTTTAAAAAATAGAAACACTGTGAAGTTTTATCAATATGTAAAAATTGCCAAGTCACTAGGACTCCCTTTGAGATATCACTGAGTTAAAASAAGACTCATGACTAACCATTACCTTTTACTACACAGTTATAAAATGGGAGAATTTAGATGTTAATTTTGCTTCAGAATGCTTTCATGCAGAGTTAAAGACAGAAATATACAAGTTCATCCACAACAAAATCACTTCAACAACAATGTACTAACACTTTGTATGAGTAAGATAAAACCCCGATAAATTCTAACCTAATAAAGTCACATTTTGTGAATTTCAATGAAAAACCACTAGTGTTGCTCATAATATGACAATCCATTATCACCTGATCCTTTTTAGATCCAATATTCTGAATCAGTAAAGATGTTCTTCTTCTAGGTCACAACCAACTGCAGTCAGTTCAAACCATGCTCTCAAAACATTCACTGACAACTCTCTGAACCACCTCTACTGAAGTAATACTCAAAGGCTTTCACATCAACGCAGCAGCATCAACTAGGCTTACATACAGGAATTTCAAACCATAGAGATGTGCAAAATCAAAAGTCTTTCACTTTCCTAAAAGAAGTTAACAAACAGTGCCACAGATTCTGCTTTTCTTCCAACATCATAGGAAGCAACACCTATGAGAAGACCACTAAATGTTTTAGATGCTTGAATTTAGACTTGGTGCTGAGTAGTCTCAAACATATGTAGTACTTCTGCATCACATTATTTTTCACAATCATTGTTCTATCCATCTATCTAAGTAAACTCTGAGGTGGTAATTTCTTTGAACAGTTCCCATACATTTAGGAATTGTATTTTTCATTTTCTGCCCTATGAGTRAATTTTGGATCTAGTATTAAATAATATCTTACAATTTTAAAACRGCAAAGGAAGCCAGAACAGTGAACTATTTTGTTGCCATGAGGGAAGGAACAGGGTGATGAGTTTAGCTGACATTTTTTAATTTGAATCAAGTTGTGGGTTGAGGGCTTTTTTGAGATTTCTGGAGAAAACATAAATGACAAATTGCAATGACCTATGATATTTCTACAGCTTAATCTCTGAGGGCCATAGGTTTTACTATCGCTACACCAAAGACAAAGGATTTTGATTATACATTCCATCTTGTTCTCCCATTCAGGAGGATTTCTTTCACTTCCTAAGTAAATAGACCTTACCATGTCTTCAGTATAAAAACTACACGTCCCAAGCACAAAATCTATCTACCTCAAACCCACTAATTCATTCTCCACACAAGCACCCAGTCAAAGCTGCCTTTTCTGTAAGTCATTTGCAAAGTTTCCAATCCTTATCATCCATACATACAGTTCAAGTTGTTTCTATCACAAGCCATAAAGGTGGAGATCATGTCACAATAAGATGACTGTGATACTTAAGTTTTATCCTTTTCAAGAGGCAACTCACAATACAAGCCAGCTTCAAATCTCTCTTAGGAGAATTTTTTTCCCATAAAATTTGTTATGCAAGCCTTACACCTAAAACCGGTAAAACAGAGCTTGCTTAAATACAAACATTAAAGACAGAAGGGTCTGAAAGACAGAACTGGATTGAAAGATGCTGTATGATTTACCTGTACAGTTTCCATAGTTTGTAAGTACATGAGGTATAGTAGGATGGTTGGTTCTGGAAACATAAGGTTTGCATTGCTGCTCTAAATCTGAGATAATAATACAAACTTGAAAGTTTAGCAGAAGGACTCAAAGTTGCAGATATAGCTTTTGAAAATCAATCACTTTCAAGAAATGAGTAATATCAAAATGTATTCTTAGTTAGACAACTCCAGTAATGAAAATATTTCCTCTTCCCTGAACTTAGTTCTTCAAAACTTATACCATATCTTATATGCAGACTTTCAAATGCAGACAATGAGAACCATACCACAGTTTCTTTATATGTACTTGCCTTATGAAATAAGTAGATTTAATTTAACAGTACTTTTGCAGCTCTTCACATTGTAAAAAATCCTCTCATGTCATTCCCACACATTTCACTAGACTATTAGGAAGAAATTTATCTTTCACAGCTTATGTATTAATTAAAATAAATAAAGCACCTGACATCAATCTTCTGATGCTTTCAAGCTGCGCTGTCAGAAGCAGCTCTTCACATTTCAAGATCTCAAACTGCACTTCATATAACTGAAGCTGTAGATCATAGTAATCAGCTTCTAAGTGGTCCAAATGGGCTAAGGCTTCTGTGCCACCTTTCAGGCTCTGCATCTAAATAAGAAGAGAAAAAACAAACAAACAAAAACCATACAACTCCACGACAATGATGAGAACAAAACCACAGACTATGATTACAGCCAGATACTGTTGGTACTCTAAACTCTGAACACATCAAGTTCATAACCTGATCAGCCACAGACTTCAAGATATCTTTAATATCTGACTTTTTTTTCTACATGGCAATTAAATTAATCCATAGCACTGAATTACACTTTGTGACTGTCAAGTGACAAATCATACAGTGCATAGTGTGAAACACGCCTCACATTCTTTTACTCTATGACTTGATTCTCTGAAGATACACAATCTTCAATCCCAAAAGAGTAATAGTAGGCATTTTTGTTGTTAAAGCTGGACTCAGAAAAAAACGTTAAAGGATGTGGAAGAAGGGATAAATGCATGCATTGATCCTCTTGTAATGGCAACTTAGTTGCTTTGTTGTTTCTGGAGTCCTTCACAGGAGAATAAATACAYACATTAAAACATTTATTTTTACATATATATATATATATTAGGACTCATTTGTATTAAAGGTTTCACACAGAAAAGTGACAAACAACCAAAGTGAACTGCAACCACTCTCTTTCATTCAATCGAACAAGATTTATCTGCTCAATACAGTTAGCCACTCAGACCACACTTAAACATGTAAAAGGATCTTTCTTACACACTGTCTCAGTTTGGCGGGAACTCATGTACCTCTACAACCTGTACGCAGAAGAGTTAGGGAYACATTTTAAAAGTATTTGCTAGTATGTTTTTACATTATGGTGTTATCTTCAAGTGGTAAACCTGAATCTGTAATGAACAGCCACAAAGGGCTTCCCTCAGTTTCATTTATCACACGTATTTAAATACGACTATACTAAACCAGAAATGTATCTGTACTGAATTGAAAGAATGATCCATTTTACTCAATATGTTTCAGGAGAATGTTAACTGCAAAACCCCAGGAAGATGAAACATAGCAGGCAGGGCAATGATACTTTTCCAAAATGCTTAACCAGCTTCTAACACAGCTTGCAGCACAACTTAACCCACAGTATTGCCTTTTATAYAGAACAGACTTAGTGCACTTAATTAATAAATTCACTATATCCCTTTTTCTTTAAAGAATGTATGTTTTTAGCACTTGCATCATTATCCATTGACAGAGATTTCATAGCTCAATTAAACACAAATAGTTCTGTGTTTTTTATATTTCCATATAAGAGTGCTACACAGAGGACCTGTGAATCAATTCAACTTCTATTTTAAGTTTCTTCTGCTATACTGCGTACTTCAAGAATGCATCTTTTGTATATCAACTATCAGTCCCAAAAGCTCAGTCAATCCTCAAGTCAACACCATACGCTTTACAATCATTCATGTATCATGTATATGTTTTAATAGTGTTACACAGAAATGCCTTGTTACGCCATTTTAATACTTTGTATCCATATGTAATGTCACCACTTCCTGCATTAACAAAAGAAAAAAATTTAATCTCCCTGGTCTTTGTTGCTACATTCATACTCACAGAGTGGGTGCATTCACCAAATCATAGAGTGATCTGGTTTGTAAGGGTTTTGGGCTGTAAGCTTTGAAAGCTCAACAAGTTCCAAGCCCCYACCATGGRCAGGGACGTCTTTCCCCAGACCAGGTTGCTCAGAACTGCATCCAATCTGGCCTTGAACACTTGTCAGGATGTGGATCCACAACTTCTCTGGGCAACCTGTACCAGTGCTGCTCCTTCAAAGTAAAGAGTTTCTTCCTAACATGTAATTTAAATCCATCCACTTTTAGTTTAAAGTCCTCCCTGTCCTATCAACAATATGCCCTTGCAAAAAACTTCCTTTCCAAAACTAAATGTTCAAAAATCTATAACACAACCTTGCTGAACGCAACAATGTCCTTATAAAGTCAGAACAGGTCTTTGTCCTGAATTGTCATTTTTTCTCAGCTAAAATCCAGATGTATTAGTTTCTTGAGCATTTGAGCCTTTTCAAACAAATATCCTGTTTTTACCTTCTAGAATACAGTAGCTAAAGGTTTTGCAAGGGAAGGTGTTTCAGTTCTACAGATATTTTCTGCCACCGTTCTTCTCAAAGATGGGATTCCCAGTAACTTCTGTCACATACAACTCTGTATACTTCAGGCTTTTACATTCTCAGAACACAATAAATGTTTCAGAGCAAAAGCTGGTTGGTCTTTGTATCCTCCTCCCTATCACTGTAATTCAGACCCAGAGATCTCTATACCTTGTAATATACCATCCCAAAGCAGCATACCCATTAGATGGTCCTTATTTCCCTGTCCCCAAAAGCCCTAAACTCAGCACTTTCATCCTCATGTATACTACAATTAACCTTTTTCTGTGCAGTCCCTAGTAGACTGGCATATCAGAACAAACATTCACTCATTTACCAGATTGAGATCTCATTCAACAAAAATTCACAGGTCTCCACAGGGAGAAAAATAAGATGTGCTATGGAAGATGTATGGTTACGCTAAGTAAATAAACACATTCAATATATTTCCAATTACGACTGCTGGATTATCTCATCAACTCTTGGCTAAGGATGACAACAACCTGATAAATGCAAGTTTTGAGGCAACTATTGGATTTTTAAATCTAAAGAGCATTGCAATGCAGTAAACCTATTTCTGTGCTCTGGGTCTTGCATGTACTCTTTCTTCCCTGCAGATCAAGCTGTCTTCTACAGAGGCTCCTAAAATAGACACACAGTCTATCAGCCTTACAAACCTACCAGCCTGTGCAGTGCTAAAGTCGTGAGTTCTCTGGATAACTTTTTCATAACAGCACCATCACTTTAAGTCAAATTTTGCTGAAGCTTTTGAAAGGTGCTCTTAAAACAATCATTTAATTGCTCAAACACACATTTAACATTAGTATGACAGACAGTTCTTAGTACCAAACATGCATATAATTGCAAAGTTTTAAACAATTCATAGCATTGTTGCTTTTGAGGAGGTGTCGCAAAACCCAATAAATGCGGATTTTTTTCCTGCTAAAGCAAGGAAACACAGTTTCAGGCATGAACTCATTCCTCAGGAAAACTGTAGCTAACACCGCTCCCTCTGGATGATTGTTTAGAATTAAGCAGAGAAATAGTGTGCAACACAACCATCCAGTTACCCATGTATTGACTAATGGTCAGACACCTTCCATCTGGAATGTCAGAGCTATGTTGAAAAGGTGGTCATGCCTCTGAAAGCAAAAATGCAGAGATGACACAGCACCAGATTTCCTGCACTATCCCTTCTCTTCGTTTTACTCATCCCAGTGGACAGCTATAAACATTAACAGAAAAAACTATCTTCCTGGCTGACTAACCAGGAAAAGGTGAACAGAAAGCATACGTAAGTGGCACAAAACTCACCACACCCACATTGCAACATCATTTGTCTAACATCGTTTCTTTCTGCATGCTTTAGTGTTCTACTTACTGGCATGAAAACTTACCTCCTCTTTCAGCGCATGTTTCTTCTGCTCCAAACAGATTTCTTTAGCACGCATCAACTGCAAAGTCTCCTTAGAAACGGCATACTGAAGTTTTTCCATACGTTCCACTGCTGCTGCCCATGCTGCCTTACCAAATTTTTTCTGGTCTGCTCGCATTCTATCATACACAGCTACAGTAAGGAAAGGAAAAGGCAGGTTTCTTACTAGTTTGCTCTTCAGAGCACTAGTGGATTCTATTGCTGACAAAATGCACACATTTGTACTTAATAAAACTTTCATTAATGAAACCATTTGATCATARATTCCAAATTCCCTCTACTTCTGTAACCACCAACTGTCAGCTACTGAAGTCTCCAGCTTACCTTAATAACATTAATAGTACAGTCATAAATTTAAATAAATCTGAAGGGTGAAAAAAGTTATGATTTAAAACAAAAATGTCAGCTTAACTTCAACTGCATTATGTTTAACTAACATCTATCTTCTAACTCAGAAGCAAGAGTCCCTTGCCTGATTCAGATTTTCTATTCTTGGGCCTCAGATAACATCTAGGCTGACACACGCAAGACTTTCATAATTGTTAATATATAGATCACACGATACTGTACTTGGCTTTGCAAAGCAAAAGCCACAAAAGTAATGGAATCAAAAGGGTGGCACTAAGTCATCACGTACTATTAYATGCTGTTCTTAGGTAATAAGAAATACCTTTATGTTCTCATGTGTTTTTCCCACTGCCATCTGTTTGTATTTGCGTATGTAGATATCCTGTGATCAGCAGGAAGCAAAAAAAAAAAAAAAAAACCCAAACAGAAAAACCAGGCAATGAACCTGGATATTAAAGGTTCTACAGCTGCAAACAGCCTTCAGGCATTGTCACTTACCACTGCTTTTCCCCCAAATCCTGACTGCTGTRCATAAAAAAGCATGTGAACAAAATGAATATGCACTATCAACTAAAAATCTATCTTATCTGCTGCCTTTGTCATACTATAAAGGAGCAAAGCTGATTAGTACATTTATAATTTGCTCTAATTAAATCTATTCTAATGTGCTTTAACCAAGTAAGTCACCTTCTCAAAATAAGGTGAAATTTCACATTATCTTAAACTTGGGTTGTCACTTGGGAAAGAGTTAATTTGCAGTGCCATCTGCTTGAGTCAGATATAGCAATCAAGTACAGAGATGACAGGAAATATACCTGTCAAAAAAGGATTTCTCCTACAGTTCATTAGTCTGTTTGCACAATCACCATCATCAAGCAAAGAAATAAACAGGGACCTGCAATCAGGCAGGGGAGGACAGCAGGACAAACTTTGTCAGTGAACTAAAAAAGGTCTGTTTGCCCTATTAAATTGGTTATTTTAGTTAAAATGGCACAAGGGCAGGAGCACAAATGTACATGCCAAGTCATCTGATCTCACTTTATTGCACCAACTTTTTAGTAAAACCATCATATTCATAGGAAAGATTATATCCAGCTTCTGAACAACAGAGCAGCTTCCACTGAGTAGTTAAATAAGCTCCTGCTTAATATATAATGCTATGAAAAAAGGTCACTGAAAGGCAAGGAATACTAGAAAAGGAAAGTAATTGAAGACAATTAGCACTTACTGTGGGGGTCTGCCATATTCAGTAGAGAAAGCAGAACCCATCAAGGACTCTATGCTCCCTAAATCCTTTGCAAATGCATAGTGCTGCTAATGTAATCACATTGACAAGGCGGCTGTAAAGCTTCTACCTAAAATTTCTGATCTGTTCACCTCTGATGATGTTCTGAAAAGTTTGCAGGTGAAAGATTTAAATAGACACAGATGAAAAAACAATGACAAAAAAAAAGGAATGACAACTGCATTTTCCTCATGAAGGATTGATGAAAAAGATAACTCACAGTACAATGAAGAAAACAGTAAACATTAAATAACTTAATTTTTATGTGATGKAGAGAATGGCAGAAAATAACTACCTTTTTGTGTTTTAGCTGTTATTTCAAAGTATTTGACTGTAAGATCTTGAATAGAAAGCACAGCCATGTGTGCTTTTTTCTGCCAATCAGCATCTTCTTTTTGCAGACTCTCAATTCTTCTGGGGCCTAGGTAGTCATTCTCTATCGAGATCTGAAAATACATTAATCCATAATGAAAAACACAATTAACAGCAGTTATTCTGCCAACAGCAAGCAGTTTCAGGGCTTTAAAAAGAAAATAAAAATGATATAATTCTACCACTACAGCTTCTCTTCAGTAGTAAGAAAGTCTTCTGAACTGCCTGCTTCCTCCTGAAAAAGTACACCCACCTTTCATAATGATTCTTCTTACAGGAGGTGCGAAACCCACAAATATAACTTTGATTTGTTAGCGTCTTTTTATTATGAATCTTAGCACTGTCCAGGTAACAAGCATGCTTCATCCAGGCTTTCTTCCAGCCTGGAAGAATCAGAACGTAGCTGGAAATCAGGGCTGTGTTGGGGTAGTGGTAAGTGATCATCAATATTTTAGAAGTTTTTTATTGTTAGAGATGACTKAAAAAAAACCAACTTCCTAGTGCCTGGAAGCTCAAATATCCTTTCATTGTCAAGAACAAGGCAATTTTATTTAGAGGTGACAACTGACTGTCTGAAGCTAGTAAAAGACTAGGAGTTTGTTTTAAAACTAATAAAAATATAGCTTTCTCTCCCAAACTGAGAATTTTTACACACTTGATGCCCCACAACAAGAGACCAGGTATCTTATATATTAATTAAAAATTTAAGCCTGCTCATACAATTAATACAAAGTATCAATTTTAAATACTTTTCATATTTATCAGTCAGGAAAACACCTCACTAGTATTTACAAAACCTCCCAAAACCAAAAGCGCTTATAACCTTGTATGTCCTTGAATATTTCAACCTGAAGCTCTAATGCCTCCTGATTTCACAAAGCTTCAGGGTGGTCTAAAAGAGCCAGTCCACTCTATAGTTCAATTGCAAAGGAAGAGTTTTTAAGTGACTGTTCAGGACCTACTTGTGCATACCCACTTATTCTGTCTCCTAGAGAGATGATTTTTACATGTAAAAATAAATAGATGCCTTGTAAGTATTTGTTCATTTCTTGTAAAATGTTTAGAATATATTAATAAAGTATTTTAATCTRTGTCTTACATATTTCCGAAACCCTTAGAAAGGGAACAGATGAACTATGCAGCGGATAAATAGTAAATGAATAACACTTCTACTAGGTAGGCCGTAACATCTCATTCTATGGAGCATGTATATATCTGTTTCCCACAGGCAATACTTATGAGTGGACAGACAGGTTTCCAAATAAATTTCGATCTGTAAATATATATATATATATATGTATACACACACCCCAGTGAATTACATCTGGTGAAATTAATGCTTTCCATTTACACAGAACTCTGAAACAGCAAATTCATTTGTGAAGCTGGATGAAAACCAACACAGTTTAAAGTCTTCCTTTTCTACTCCTTGGCAGAGATGAGGTAACTTGACACTGAATTGACATAGGATCAGAGTAATGTGAGTAATGTTCTTACTAGGCATGAGTTCTATGCGAGTAATACGCCTCAAAGTAACATYTTTTCATAAAGTTTTGTCTGCCAAAACATTATTCACACATGGTGCTAACGGAAGTTTTATTATTGCATAATACAATTGTATTTTTGTTCCCTAAGGCAAGTATTTACAAGTAATAAAAAAGGGAAGCATCTTTTCATTATCCACAATCCCAAGTATATTATCCCTATACCATCACTCACACTAAGGTACCCATATGGCAACACACAGAAAACTCTTGGCTTTAGAAATTGCATTAAAAAGGACAGATCAATAACCTGCCTTAAAGCTGCAGGCACAGTGTTATGCTTAACAGAAGCTTGAATGGAGCCCCCCCCCCC